TCGAAGTTCTCGAACAAACTCTCCCACGCTACGATTCTCGATTTCGGATTCTCAAGCTCAACTCCTCTCTACTCCTTCCACCGACTTTCGATTCAACAATCCTCTCTTTCTTTACTCTTTCGAAGATCCGTCATTCCTACAATTTCCAAATAATTGCACTGAACAAACATAGTTGAGCAAACAATTTCCAAATAATTGGATTGAACAATAGTTGAACAAAAGTCACGTGCATATATAGCATATACACAATCGCACGATGAATGCAATTGTCTCTCTGTTGCTGTCGCCCGTAGCACGCGAAAGGAAAGACGAATGGATCACCCTTATGAAAGGGAGTTTCGTTAAATCGATTCGTGTGCACACACACACACACACACACACACACGTGCAAGTCGCGTGAGGCTCTATCTCCAGCTTTGTCCAGAAAATTGGCTCGTGTTAGCACCGCGAGTTAAACTTCAAATTAAACAGCTTAGCCCCTTGAATAGATTCGCGTGAGTTTTGTTAAAGGAGAAAGGCTATCGTCGAGACCGGATCAGCGGGGGAATGAGATGTATAGAGGTGGAATTTAAAGTGTAATCGCTTTGGCTCTTGTAAGTGGGAGTATACACGGTGTTCCAGCGTATGCTCGTCGCGCGAGACAATGATTCTGCCAAAGTAAAATATAATTCTACGAATAATACGAATGTGAGTCATTTCGTGCGAAATATTGAGCCATCTCGACGAGTGATGAATACGAATGATATTAAGGGGAATACGAATGAGTAAAGGGGAATGAAATTGAAAATGAAACGGCGGAGTGAGATTTAAATTCGGAGGATGTAGAATAACATCGTATTTGAAAGTATACTTGGGCTTGATTGATTTTTGCAGAAATAATTCTGATACTCCGAAGTAGTAGATATAGTAATGTAGTATGTCCTATAAAAATTGTGTCAAAGCAGCCGGAAATAATATTCTATAAACGTAGCAACGTACGTACATTTTATAGAGAAATTATTAAAGCAATGGGAAATAGTTTTCTATATTTCAAAAGGGAAAATTCAACAGATTTAACTTCATCGTATTTCTTAAACACTGTTGTTCAATAAACGATGCTTCAGTATGTTAAATGCTTAAAAGCTACTTGAATATTTTATTAATGTATTGCTAAGTGGAACATCGGAGATTTTAAAAAATTATAATAAAAATACGAACTACAAAGGAATTAGTAATAGATTTGCAGTTACTATGGTGTAATAATTAATAACGTTGATAATTTTCTCTAATTAATACGAAACTGATAGCAAACGTTGTTCACTGTTGTTCAATAAATGATGCTTCAATATGTTAAATGTTTAAAAGCTACTTGAATATTTTATTAATGTATTGCTAAGTGGAACATCGGAGATTTTAAAAAATTATAATAAAAATACGAACTACAAAGGAATTAGTAATAGATTTGCAATTACTATGGTGATAATTTTTAAAATTCTCTAATTAATACAAAACTGATAGCAAACGTTAAATTTATTATGTTATTATATTATATGTTAATTTTATTTGATTTAATTTAATATACCTTTCCACATGCAATTTTAAAATTATCCAATAACCAAAATATCGTTTTCTTCCTATTTCAAATTCTTTTGAAACATTTTAAATGAATCTGAACCTAACTTGTGTTTATGTAAAATTTGGAATTTCTCATTCCTCCAGCTAACAGAATATTTTAACTTTAGTTGTTAAATTGTAGAAAATTTGGTTGTCAAATTCTCGAAACACCCTATGTACACGTGTCCATTTATTTTTTGGCCGTGTACACGTGAACGTATCGGTCCATAGTTGATACAGTTACAGAAGAATTTAAATCGACTAATTTCCACGGTGTTAAAGGAGGCAGGTTTATTTGCAATTAAGAAACCGTGTAAATAGCTGCCTCCACTGTTTTCAAGCACGGACAAAGGGAACGATGAACTTTTTCTTTTCGGGCCGATCTGTTAAACGCTATGAGACTTTGTAATGCGATTTCGCGAATATATCGTCCTCTCGGCGACTTAGAAACTTCACGACGACGACGCAATGGTTTAACGTTTAGAAGGTGGAACAATCTCTCAGCGGGTTGAAAGCGGGTTTAAAATTGGAAATTTTCGGGAACTTTTGCTTCTGAAATTTCCGAAAATCTTTCTTCTACGCGAATTTCTTACTTCGTGTTAGCTATACCGACGCAGACGTAACATCGATTGACAAAATGAATGGATGAAAATTGAAATTCGCGGAGTACGAGATAATAAATTAATGTTATACGAATATCGAACGAATTGCACTAATAATATTACACTTCTTATATTAAATTAAATATACTGAACTAACAGGACTATAGAATTTTATTCCATTAAGTCGAAATTCATGTTTCTAGGTAACAGAATATTTATGTTCTAGCTTGAGATGTGATAGACGAATATTCACAACTGTGTTAACAAAGACAAAAGAAAAGAAATTGTGACATGATATTTCTTTTTCGAAGCTCATTGTCAATCCGTTGACCGAATCATTTCGTCACAAAAGGCCTCTGAAATTATAGAATTAATTATTAATATCATAATTAATTCGAATCTGGTAGACATTCTTAACCAATTGCGCTGGCAACTGATTGCGGACCATAACGAGTGACCGAACCGTATACAATAATTTGTCGCTGTCGTTTTCTTCTGAACTCGTCGGTATGATTATCACCGGATAGAAATTATCGACAAGTAATAAATTTATTATTTGTTTCGCTTATTTTCACTTAAATATACTTAAAGCTGAGAAAAGAAATATTACAATGTTGGAACAAAAAATTCTCGACGCGTTTCGAGCAAAGCTTGAATTCTATGGATTCGGCCGGCAATCGAAAAAAGACTTGTTAATGATAGCTACAAACGAGACTTGACGGAGAAATTGAAGCTCGATACTCTGTTTTTCGTCCCGCTTGCTTACAACGAACGAGAGCGTAACTCGAGTAATGTTTCGACTTCGATCCGCCGACGAGTTATAGCCACCCATTACTTAAGATTGGCAATCCATTAAGCGAAGCCTCGGCGATCGACGGTGATCGTGGAAAAACGAAGGCGACGCGAGCCTCGAGGAAATTAGAGGCGAAAGTAGAAGATTGGTGTGCAGAATAGATCTCTTTTTTCTTTCTTTTTTTTCTTTCACACGATAATGCGAGACAAGAATATTTTGCGAAACGTTGTTGAAGCAACCGAAAAAATAATTGCCTGTGTTTACGTTGTAAGATGCTATTGAAACAGGTTTTATATTATATGTTAGACGTATAATAATATTTATTATATTATATGTATATTAAATATTATGTAATATAATATTTAATATACATGTTATAAATAATATTAATATTATGTAATATTATGTAATATTATGTAATATACTAATATATTAATATTATGTAATATTATGTAATATACTAATATATTAATATTATGTAATATTATGTAATATACGTATATTAAATATTATGTAATATAATATTTATTAAATATTATAAAATATTGATAAATTTATAAATATTATATATTTTAATATTATAAAATATTGATAAATTTATAAATATTATATATTATAATATTATAAAATATTTATAAATTTATTATATATTATAATATTATTAAATATTATTAAATATTATATATTATAATATTACAAAATATTTATAAATTTATAAATATTATATATTATAATATTATAAAATCTTTATAAATTTATAAATATTTATTATATTATATGTTAAACGTATAATAATATTTATAAAAAAAGTATTAAATAGCTATTGAACTAATTCTTTGGAAAAAGTATTGTAGCAGTCGGAAAAGGAAGGTGTGATTATTTTTTGAAATAATTATAAAAGTCAGAAGATGATAAAAATGATTAATAACGGAAGATATGAAATTGTTTCTTTCATTTTAGCAATTATGATGATCCTATAAAAATCAGAGAAGATTTCAAAGTAATGCTTCAAAAGCAGTAGACAGTAAAAGATATTGAGTTCTTTTTTTCATTCTCGCAATTGTAATAATCTTGTTAAAAATAAGAAGGGCAATCAAAGACAGGAGTTTTAGCGAAAAATAATATTTGTTGCAATGTTGGATTACATGATTGTATGAGTATAATTGAATGAAAGAGGGCGTCACTAATAACTAAAAGCAACAGCGAAATACAAACAGAATCATTATAAGTACACATACAAATTATCGTCGAATCTATTAAATGCAAATTCCATTGTAATCTCTATTTTAATTATTGTTAATTGTTCTCCTCCGCGTAAATCTAAAGGCGAAAGCTTTATGCATGATTTCATGGAAGGCCACAGATCTTTCCCCGTATATTTGGACAAATTAAATTCGATTGCAATCCCTGCACTGTGAAATTTACAGTTATAATTTCCATAGAATATGCTGCAACCACAAGTAGAAGTTTTCAGTCAAAAATATGAAACATAATCAAGACACACGAGACACTGAGAAAATACTGTAGAGAACAGAAAACTTCACAGAAACTTCAACTATCCACGAATTTTAACGATAAACTTTGAAACGAAATTTTTTCGAAAACTGCATTATTCTACAATGCACTTTCCACCAGTGGAAGTGAAAGAACGTTAAACCAGCCATCCTGATCGAATTTCGATCACACCCACGCCCAAGCAATCTCCCCAACAAAATTTCTCTGCTAGAATGAAATCCCTTGCTAAAAATAAACAATACTTTCGCCTAAATTTTCGTTTCGTATATTCCCAGGGAGAATAGCTACGCGATAATTGAAAAAAAAAAAAGAAACAATAGCCACAGCTGCGCTTGACTCCGGCCATAAAATTATGTTACGTCACGCTTGGGAATATGTATTTACCATCTGCCCCCTCGCAGATCGGCGACAGCACGATTTATCACCCTGTATCCACCTGTTTTTCTATGTTCTTTGTTGCCAAATTTTCAAAAAAACTTGTGTCGTGTTTTTTGCAGGTTTTCCAGCTGACGTGTGAAATAGAAGAGAAATGCCTGTGGGCGGACGAGTTGCCGGCAAAGTCGGGATTTACAGCTCCCATTATAATGGTAACGTAAACAGGGATATTGCAACATATACACAGTGACTCGCGTCAATGTTCTTACGCTGTTTCGTGAAAAATGAGAAAGAAAAGCAAACCTAGCGAATTTATTTCTGTTTACGAAGAAAGAAGAATTCGTACGTCGAACTTTGGACAGTTTATGTTGTAAAGGGGAAGCTCTCGATCTCTGAATCAGTTATGAGAAACAAATTTTTCAATGTTTTCACGTACTATGACAATTTGTAGCATCTTCGAGATGAAAAGTGTCTTCTTCTACATAGTGTAAAAATGTCTTATGTTAGAATAAAATGAACGACGCACTCGTGAAGATAGAAGCTTCGAGGTTTTTAAAATGAGCCCAAGTTTCTTATTGTACTTGTATTGTCTTTCTTTTCTTTTTTTTTTTTACAATAATTACAACAACGGCTCCAATATTTAGTATCCGAATATTAATGCGAGTCGCTGTTTATTTAGAGATATTAGAATATTTATGAATCGCGTGAACTAGACAAGAATTACACAAAAATGTTAAAAAATAGCTGTCGTAGTTTCGTGAGATAGAATTTTTTTATTATAATGACAATACTTGTTATAATGGTAACAAGAATGTTGCGAGATGTAACTTTTTCATTCGGAGTTTATTATAATGAGGACGTGAACACCTTTCTAGATATTAGAATATTCATGAGTTATAAATGAACTGATGAAGAGCACAACGACGAAAGATTGTCCATATTTTAAACTACCATAAAAAAAACTTCATAAAAAAAAAAAATCACACAACAATCCACTCGGTTCTGTTTCAAATTTAAACGTAATGCCTCCACTGTCACAGTCCCAGGCTCATATTTTCCAGAAATATTTTTCACGTCACGCAACAGTTTATTCTCGATGATCATGAAAATTCAAACTCGCAACATTCTCTAAAAGCGACGAAACATTTTTTCCTCGTGATCTTGAAGAACGAAACCTTCTCTTTGCAACAATCCTTTTTTCTTTACGCAATTTTACCCAGAACCTTAAATATTACGATTGAACGATAAAGATTTTAACATTTCGTTATCTCCTAAAATGATATCGAAAACTTCGGACGGAATGACAAAGAAAAAAAACATGGAAGCGCCGCAGAATTTTTAAAGAGTCGTTGCAAAGGAGAAACTTCGAATCTTCAAGACCATCTTGCGAATTTTTCAGCTGTTAAAGAGAACAACTTTCAAAAGAGAATACTCTTACTTTATCGCCCGCTATACGTAACGTGTAAAACATCATTGAAAAGAACGAAACACGGAACGAACACGGTCAAAGTGGGAGTTCGATACTTTCGAAACGAGACCAAACACTATTGGATTGTTACGTGTTTCTCACGACGAAGTTATCATCTCTTCATTGTAGAGGAACCGCAGGCCAACTGGTGAAAAGAGGAGTTAGAATTATCCCAAGCTTGTTACACTGGCAATAAAATAAAATAAAAACATTGCACGATACCCTCGCTTACACATAATATCCGGGTTTATTAATAATTTCGCGATCGTTTGCTGTTCGTATGATCGATCGTGGACAATATCGGATAATATCGATAGTAACGGAAACAAAACGCCAAGGAGATCTCCGTTTTGCCCACGCAGAGTTGTGTACACGAGCTTCGCGTTGGCGAACGATAATTTACGAGGCAATTCGAAATTCGTTCGAAATACGTCGTACCGCCGACTGTTTCATTTTGCACGTTTTAATTGGTTTTGTCGTGTACGTGGAGCGTGTATTTTTAATACAATTCCCGAAATGGAGTTACCGTTGCGCCTGGACTGTTTTGTTTCCTTCCATTACGCACACACAACGCGAGGCACGTGCCGTGTCGTTTCCTCGAATGGAATTTTAATCCCCTTGCGCTGGCAACAGAGAAATTCTCATCTTTAACGCACCGTTTTACAGTATTATAAATTTGATACTCATCCGAGAAAAGATTCAAGTTTAATGATAGATGGATTGATAGATATATAAAATATTTGATATTGCATCACGAGATAAATATATTATATATAATATATATTATATAAATGATATGAATAATATGAGATAAATATATTATATATATGCATATAGTGCTAGATACAACGTCGGAGAATTTTTAACCTGAACTTGACCATTTGCGCTGGCAACTGATTGCGGACCATAACGAGTGGCCAAACCGTACACAATAATTCGTCGTTTTTCTTTCTCTTTTGAACTCGTCGCTATGATATCACTGAATAGAAATTATTGAGAAGTAATAAATTTATTATTTGTTTTGCCTGGGTTGTACTTAAATATACTTAAAACCGGGGAAATATTGCAATTCTGGAACAATACAATCTCGACGTGCGTAGCACGTCATTCCAGCGCAAGAGGTTAACCATTTGCGCTGGCAACTGATTGCGGACCATAACGAGNCGACCGAGCCGTATACAGTAATTCGTCGTTTTCTTTTCCTTTTGAAGTCGTCGGTATGATACCACTGGATAGAAATTATTGACAAGTAATAGACTTATCATTTGTTTCGCCCGGGTTACATTTAAATATACTTGAAACTGAGAGAATGTGGCAATTTGGGACAGAGTTGCCAAGTTCTCGACGTACGTGGCAAGAGGTTAACGAGTAGACTGTGGATTTCTATGAATGAAGAATTTTAACCTGAATGAAAGAAAATGTTCCATCATCTGAATATAATAACGTGTATTATTATTTTTATTATATACTTCCTTGCTTTTTGAATATTTACGTCTATTATCATGTATTAAATCCGCAGTAATGATAAATCGTACTTCTTGTTTTAAGGTAATCTAATGATAAATCGTACTTCTTGTTCTTTCTTGAGAGGTTGAACCGTGCGTGATGCACAGTGGCTCGTCGAGAATATGAAACTGTAATAGATTTTTAGAAAGAGAAAGAAGTTTTTTTCTTGAGACGAACAGTTTGATCTTGATTTTGGATATTTACGCGTTTACGAATAGAAAATAGGGTACACTATATCGGAATGAAACGAAGATCTGCATCGTTATAGGAAAAATTTGAGAAGAAAGAAAAATGATCGTTTCTCAATTAATCTCATTTTGTCTTGAGAAATACTTGTTAAGAAAATGACTGATGTTTGAGTGAACAGTTTCCAACAGTAATTTAGTTTCGTTGCTTCTCAAAGTCGACAATCGCGCTTCCCGACATCTCGCTATCAGACTATCCACGTTGAAATGACCTGACACTCGCACTATCTTTTCGAGCTGTTAAATTTTATATTATCAGCAACTCTTGCCACGCTTCTATCGAGTTTCGAAACTCATCTGCGCATAAAAAGTTGAAAAGAACATTTCTGATTCTGTTTCTTCCTTAAGCTGGAAAAATAAAATTTGGAAAAGAAATTGTACTGCAACGAATTGAATTTCCTTTTAATTATAAAAGTGTTGAGTTATGTTTGCTATCTCTCAATTTTTTTACATTCTCGATGAGACACTGTGTAAATCATTTTTTCTCACGTTTTTCAGTAACGTTGCAATTCACGCAACTTTCGCGGATTATCTCTCGGCTTGGTCCTTAATTTGATTCGACAATAACCGACGATAAGCTGGAATTTAATTAATTATGGTTATTAATCCGGCAAACTCAAACCTCGAAGAAACGACATGCACCGAAGCGACTTAATAAGAAATGCAAATTAAAAATGAGAAGAATGGGAGTTCGGCAATTTACGTGCAGATCAGAATGCAAATAAATTTTCCTGTGTAAAATAATTGGCCTGAGATGTTAATTAAAACTCTCGTGTTAATTTTGCACGCGCATAGATAGATGTGTCATACGTGGCATGCGTAGTTAGGGTAATTTTTTATACCACTCGTTTACGGTATTCTGCTTTCGCTAGCCTCGCGTGCACCCTGTACGAGAAGTGGTAGTAATTTATTTCTTAATTAGATTTTTATTTAATCTCTCGTTCGCATCTAGAGTCGTTGAAAATTCAGACTGCGAAAGCGTAACGACGATAAAAAGCCTTTAGAAAAAAAAAAATATGATTTTGACAATTGGTAAAAGTTAAAATATTTGTTCGGTATTTTCCACTACCTGGATTCAAATTTATTTATCCAGAAAATCTAACTAATTCTTATCTAATTGTTCGTACTATTCATAAAATCTCGAATTTCGATTTATATCGAAATTATAACGAATTATGTACGTTCATTCGTGTTCGAATAAACTGCAGGAAAAATTTAAATCTAAAAAAAAAAGCGTGCATTCCAGCATTGAATTCGTATTTAGTACAGGATGAAATCGATATCGTTCTATCATAACAGAAAGAATGCAAACACTTTTACAATAACACCAAATTGCACACCGAAACCGCATTTAATTTCCATTTTTAGTATACGGCCAATATACCAAAAAGAACAAAATATAAATATTTCCACGACTTCAACTGGAATGGTCAATAGATCAATCGGAACAAACTGAACTATACCTTCCATTTTCAAGCCCGATTTCATCGTATACAAAAGTTTGTAATACTAACAATAAGTTCAAACACAGTGGCAACATTAATCTAAATTAATCATTGATATGGTTCTGTGCATTCCTATCAGTTAACTGTGCTATCATGAACACATACAAAAAATTATTACGCAATTAGTATGCAGTAGAATTTCCCTTTGATAGTATAGTGGCAGATAATCCCACAGTGAAGAACCACATACACACACACAGAGAGAGAATTAAAACGTAAAATGTTTCATCAGAGAAACTAAAATGAAAAAAAAAGAAAATGGAAAGTAGAGTACATAAGCTTTTGTGTTTATACAGTTTGCGAAAAATCATTCAAATCTTTGAAAACACACTGTTATATAACAAAATATTATTTAGGATAATAACGAAAATTAGAAATTCGTCATTTTAACTGTTTTCAGTAGTTCTAGTGTTAATATATTTCTTGTTGATTTTATTCTCATTAAATCAATTGAACTATTCTTTCTTACTAGTTACAAGTTGAGTAAATTAAAAATATGTTATTAGTATTAAATTGTATAAACTAGGTGGACTAACTCTATCTAAATTGAGAAGAAAAGTGAAATTATTTTTTTTGTTTTAATGTTAGAATTCAAATTATCATGGGAATTATAATCTAATGAAACAGATCTTTTAGAAATTCGTGAGAAACTCTGAGAGAAATGGAATCGATCGGTTTGGCTTCATGTACGCGTGACCCGTCAAATCATCTGACCGCGATTTCTTACGCAAATTTTTGCAAAATTTTCGAAAACAAAAATTCACAGAATACGTAATTCAAGAGTAAAGTATTCGTCATAAGTTTCTACGAATTAATTACAGCCGTGTACAAGCTCTATTTCATTGTGTCGATAAAGAAATAGGTTCATGTAAAAATTCGCAGCCTATATCCATGATATACGTATAGTTCGTAATTAGGTCAAGAGTCTTAACCCTCCAACCGCGGACAATTTCCATACTTTTCTCTTCAAAGTCGCTGTTCAGAGTTTAAACTTTCAGTCCATCCAAGTTAGCTACAGCCTCTACGTAATGTCTAATCAATTGTCACTTTAAAAATAACTAAATTTAAGTTTAAATATACTACTTTTCTAATTAAATCATTCAAAATTAATTAATTAAGTAATTAAACGTCAAGAGAATTTTAGAACAAGAGAATTTTCTTCCCGAAAAATTGTGAAAATTCGAACGTATGTAAAAGAATTTACGACTCCGGTATAGCCTTGAATACAGAAATATTTCTTCTCCTCTTACGACTCTTTTTTTTTACTATTTTATCGAACTTGGAACATTTAGGCGACGAAACGATAGGAATTTCTTAAATTTTTATCATCTAACTCCGACATTCGACATATTCTTCGAAAAGAATCATGTAACAAATTTGAAGGTGGAAACTTCGATCTTCAAAACAATGGCGGACATCTAGTTACAGTGCAAAAAAAAAAAATTGCTTTAATGTTTCTATGCACGTTTGAACCTTTGAAAATTCTCGAGAGAAAATTCTCCCATCCATTAAACAATGTAAAAAAAAGAAAAAAAAAAGATGAATTCACGATCAGGTTAAAGTAGAGGCGTCGCGCATTATATGAATTCTTTCTACAATTATATCAGTTTCAATTATATTAGTATATATTATCCATGTATTTGCACTTGGTAGCATTTGCTATGTCTCAAGATTATTGATTTTTGGAACAACCGTGAGATGCATGATCTTTGTGACACAGATTTCTCCGACACTATTTTTACCGACAATATTTCATCGACTTCAGATTTGTCCGACAGCGACTTTACTCGTCAACAGTTTTTATCGACAATGGCATTGACCGCCAACAATTTAGACAATTGCATATCGCCACAGACGTTGCCTCAGTTTGGCGTTCGGCTATGGTCTTTATTGCTTTTAGTATATCGAATAGAGTTTTTTTTTTTTATTTACGCTATAGAACCCTCTAGAATAAATTTTAGAATCTAGAAAGAATTTCGCAGACTTTTGTACAAGGATTACACTAAGATACATGTTTGCTATTTACATACTATAACTAGAGCTTACAACTAAAACTAAGAGAACTGTTAAATCACTGAGAAACACAGCCAAGTACTCGACACAGATGCCAACCATGATGGCTTTTGAATCGAATAGAGTTATAATCATTCTTATTGTTAGTGAAAATAGTTAATTATACAAAAATGTCTCGATCATCTTGGTTGAAAATGATGGTTCTCTTACTGCTGTATCATCAACTAAAAATAAAATATAACTAAACCTATCATTAGAAAAGCAATGACGAACAAATATCATAATAATTTCAGTATCATTGTCGGTTAATACTGTTGTCGGCTAAAGTTATTGTCGGACAAATCTAAAGTCGATGAAATATTGTCAGAGAAATCTGTGTCGATGATTTCAACGTGACCCTCGTCCAGTTAGAATTCCCATTTCCATAAACGAACGTCCATGAGATCAGAAAAAAAGCATGGCCGAAGATGACGTCGGTGCGAGGTGCCGATTACAAGATAAATCCAGCTTGCTTTCAGGGAAAGGCTACAGTGGCATCAACGAGGAGATCATGTGGATCAGCATCGGGATGGGGATCACGATCGCGGTGCTGATCACCATCGCCCTGTGCTACATCGCCCGTGAGAAATGCCGGAAACGACACGAGGGCTACTACGCCTCCTGACGGGCACTTCCGCCGCCCTCGTGGGCCTCTTGGTCCTTCTCACCGTCGACGCCCGGTGTGTTCTTCAGCCCGACCACGTCGAGAGGTAAACCGAGGGCGTACTACATCACCGTATAACGCCGAAATCCGGCGGCTGAACGCTCTCGCTCGGTCCGAGCGAGCTGACGCGAACGTCGTGAACGAGATGATCGACCTACGAAAACGCTTCGACTTCTTTCATTCGTCTTTTTGCGACTCCTTGGTATCTTCACTTGAAATAATATCAAATAGTTTCGTTTCGAAGTCGTACCACCGACGAGTACGATAATATGTACGGGGATAAATCTGAATGAAAATTGACAAATTATCAATCTCGTCGTGTTTCCAATACCGCGAAGAAGGGAGTTCACTTCAATGTGCGTGTTTGATATATAATAAATCAAACGCGAATGCCATTATTGAGTTGGAAGGAGAGGACAATTTATGACGAAGGTATGTAGAAAAGGTAAGTCTCATGACGTTTTGTAAAGCGCAAGATTATCTCAAATATATGCGGTTCGGTTGGATTGGTTCCCTAAATGATCCAATCAAAATAACCGAGTCAAAAAGTTAATTTAATCGCAATAACATTAATGTCACCGTTAATCCATTTAGTAAATGAATAACTTAATCCGGCGTGAGTTACCAACCTCGCTGTCGTTATAACGTTATTGCAGAGAAACGATGTTAAACGTCAATGGCATTAATATTACGTGATTTGCGTTGTGTAAACTCGGAGTGGCAACAAAACAACCGCGCGTTTCACTTCTGTAAAAATTGCAAAAGCTGACCGGCCATGTTTCACCTCTGTTTCATCCTCGTTTCAAACGAGCGCCAGGTACTATCCGCTGAACCTTCGAGTTTATCGAGACGAGATTTCGACGCGATGATTTATGGAGCAATTGCTCGAAGGAGGAAGGAATCGAAAGGGAGCGCCTGACCTATTCCAGTCTGATCGACTGGATAATTAGCTGAATTCCCTCGGCCGTTGTTGTTATTACCAGATTTTCGAGGAATTCCCACGCGTTATTGGGAATTCAGATCTTATGGACGATTCGGTACCGGTTGAAATTGATTTCATCTCGCTCGGCGGGGACAACAATTTCGAAACTGGATGGTAACGAGATCGTTGTGATACGATCACGTCAGATTGCTGTTCGTCGTTCGGACATCTACTGCGAATATTCATGAAAAGGCATATCTGCGGAATTGTTTGGGAATTGCTATCCTATTTTATCTGACGCAGAATTGAGAAAAGTCGTAGAATTGTATCTGACATCTCGCGATCGAATTTACTAGATGAAAGATCTGATTGTACGAGCATAAACTTGCAATTTTCAAAATTATCATATAAAGTACTTAATTTCATTTCACGTAGAATTGAGAAAAGTTGTGGAATTAATGTTTAACATTCTCGCGATCAAATTTATTGGATGAAAGATGAGCATAAATCTATGATTTTCAAAATTATCATATAAAACATTTCAACCCCCGTACTTTATTAAGAATACACGCAATAAATCTACTGTTTCGTAAAGAAATTTATTGTTGTAAATAAACTAACATCTCGAATTCATTTCGCATTAATCAGCTGTCATATTGATACAGATCTGACGGTGGCTCTTGATCATAAATATTAGAGAAATGAAAAATGCAAGAGTCATTAAAATATTAAACTGTCACATACTGTTATCTGCCTACTATACAGGTCAAAATTTCCTGCAACTTTACTAAAAATTGTCGTTCCTCGTCCTCGCTATGTTTTTTTACTTCGTCGCGCGAACCAGTCGAAAGTTTTCCATTCTATTTAAACAACAAACTCAACTAAATGAATCGTGAAAGATTTAGTTTTAATCGAGGTCTCGATCGAATAGTGAAGTTAAATCGCGTTGAAAACTATCCGACATTTCGCTCGATCGAACGTGTCTCTCGTACGCGCAAAACTTGAGCATCGGGCATCCTTGACACAACCCGAAAGCTACGAAAGAAGCAAAGCTAGATATATTTGCATTTGAAAACTCCAGGCTCTCGTACATGCAAATATAATTAAGTAAAGATTGTTCAATCACTTGACTAGAATCGACACCTATCGACTTTTTTCCTCAGAAAATGTTTCGCTTTTATTATTTAAAATCTTCGTAAGTAACATTTGACATCATCGAAATAATTTCGAGGGGGAAGCTCGAGATAAATATTTCTGAACGAGTGTCCTTATCTTTTCAAATTATTGCCAAACGTTGATAATTTTACCTTATTCTTTTCTTTATACTTGCAAATTAAATGACGATAGTATGCAATTAATAGAAATAATATAATTTCACAGTAGTTTGGCTATTTAACTAGAAAGTACGCCTTTATTGTTATGTAGAAAGATCGAGATAAATATTTCTGAACGAGTGTCCTTATCTTTCCAAATTATTGCCAAACGTTGATAATTTTACACTCTCGAGCAACCTTATTCTTTTCTTTATACTTGCA